GACCTCTCCCCAGCAACTCCAGCTCATACCATCAAAGCTTATATAGTCTTGCAATTGTTTTTTTTTTTTTACTTGGAGTCTCACTCCATTGCCCAGGCTGGAGTGCAGTGGGCGTTGACCTGCCGGGCTCAGGCGATCCTTCCACCTCAGCCTTCTAAGTAGCTGGAACTACAGGTGCATGCTACCACACCCGGCTACTTTTTGTGATTTATTGTAGAGACGAGGTCTCGCCAAATTGCCTGGGCTGGTCTCGAACTCGTAGGCTCAGGCAATTCACTCCCCTCAGCCTCCCAGATTGCTGGGACTACAGGCTGAGCTACCAAGCCTGGCCAGTCTTGCAATTTTTATATTGTATATGTCTCCCAAAACTTTCAGGAAATACTTTGATAAGACTCCAGTTCGCCTTTTATTTTCTGTCCTGTGCTGAAATAAGGAGTCTACAAGCAGTAGGAAATAAACTCTTTCCTTGCAAGTAGATTCCTATGACACTACTAAAAAAAATCTGCATAGCCAGCTTCATGCTAATCGCTTTCGGTTATGCTTGCCTAATGACACCCAAGCTCTTATAGATTCATTATGAGCCCTCTTTGCTTCCTCTTTTTATTACTGTGCTTTTAAAAAACTCAGTAATGCGTTGGATTCAGTGTGTAACTTGACAGGTAACTTAAAAGGAACACTTATCCAAAGTTCTTTTCTCAACAAGGTCAGGATTGCTTCCATTATTGTTTATAATAGCTTTCATGTCCCTCCGAATTTTATTTCATTTCCTTAAAACATATGAAGGGGTTCTATTTTGGTGTTCTTGGGATAATTATAACTAGGAAATTACATCAAGGGTACTTAGTTGTATATTAAATCTAGGCTGGGTATTTTGTATTTCTCACGTATATCTTAACAGAATACTGAAAATAATCCTTTTGTGGAATAAGAAAATAGAGAGTAGGCCAGGCTTGATGGCTCATGCCTTTAATTGTAGCACTTTGGGAGAACGAGATAGGAGGATTACTTGAGCCCAGGAGTTCGAAACCAGCCTGGGCAACATTGCAAAAGCTCATCTCTGCCAAAAAAAATTTAGCCAGGCATGGTGGCCTGCACCTGTAGTCCCAGCTACTCAGAAAGCTGAGGCAGAAGGATTACCTGAGCCCAGGAGGTCGAGTCTACAGTGAGCCATGCCTGGGCAACAGGGTGAGATCCACAATCCTCCCAAAAAAGAAGGAAGGAAGGAAAGAAGAAAAGAGAAAAAAAGAAAATAGAGAGCAGTTTGATACTTAGGTAGCAGATATTGGTTGCATAATTTAGTATCGTCATATTGGCTTAACTTAACAACTTGAACTTTTGTTTTTTTAAGACTATTTTCTGAACTCATCTTTTAATTTTCACCATTTGTAACAGAATCTCAGTGACTCCATCCAGACAAGGGGTTCCCCCTATTGTTATATATAACACTCCAACCTTTTGGCCTCCCTCTCCCCCATAATCTCTAATACCTGAATGTGTTTTCCAAAAGCTGAACCCCCAACCCTTTAATCTTTCTCTTTTTTTAATTCATGGCTACCAAAATGCATATTCAATATATGCTTTGAGGCACATGAAATACACTTTCAAAATGCAATATTCATTGCCAAAAGTAAAAGGTTCAATTTAATGCATCCCCACAAATAATGACAGCATTCCCTCTTTTATCTCTTCCCAGCACAAGCATGACTTCACTGTGAAAACCAGATGCAGTCCTGAAGTCAGTCTATCCTTGGTGACTACAGAAAGCCAGTCTATTAACTAAAGTCCAAGAATGGAGTATGTTTCTTCTGTTAACCATTTATTAAGTCAGCAAGTTAAGTAATGACTACATTTTTCTTTCTAATACACCTGCCGTATTATGCATTGAGCAGTATTATTCCTTGAACAGATGTGTCTTTTCAGAGTCTTCTTCCTTGTTTATGAACACAGGATTTCTTCTTAATTATATGCTTGTAAGCGGCAACTGCTTCGAAAGGTGCTTCTGAACACACTGAAATTCCTCCACACTGAGAGCCAAGTGACATGAAAACCCCAACCTCATCAAGAATGCAAGCAGTCAGCTCCCCACATCAAGCACCCAATTAGCTCATATTCTTTGGCTAAATGTACTCGGCAGTCAATCTAGTCATCCTCAGTGCTTTGATTTCAGAAGCTTTAGAAATACCTGGGAGTTTCTTGAATGTGGCAGCATTCAAAATACAAAAGATAAGGAAGAAGCATTTCACAGTCAGACAGCAAACTGCAGAGTCTGACAGCAAAGACACTGAAGGTGATATCAAATTCCTTCCACGTTAGTATTTTGAATAACTAAGTATGCTAACCAGTTTTTGGCTCAGCACTTCTCTTTATCAATAAAAAGGAGTATTTGCAGAGAATCAATGTCTAAAGCACATCGGCCAAATATTACACTTTTAGGATTTTCTCAGTGCTGAGTGTTAACAAAGAAAACCTTGCTGCTATACTTTTGAAGGACACCAGTGGAAGCTGACAACCAAATTGATACCATTTTTTTCTTATAAAGAGTATAATGAGTGCTTGGGTCACCTTCAAAACATGGTTACATTCTTTCCCTGGAGTAGAGTTACTGTGGGATCCAGTGACTGAAAAGGCTAGGGGAGGAAACAAAACGATTGCTCAGCAGGACGAGTGCAACGCTGCTGTCCTCGCCGGTGTCTCTGCCCACAGCAAGGTCATAGAAATTCAGCAAGAGCCCAAGTGGCTCTTCAGCAGCAGACACTTGCGGGCACGATCCTGGCACCCGTTGGTGTTTGTCTGACAGCTGCATGTGCTTCAGCCAAGGCTGCAATAAGTGACCTACCCGGCTCTGAAGAGGAAGGCTGGCCCTACCATTTCCCACTGAGTCAGGAGGTCAAGTAAGAATTCCACTGGTGTCTTTAAATAGTCTTAGCTTCAACTAGCCAATGTGGGTGAGGATTTGGGAGTGTATCTGTGTGTGCCTGGCAGGGAGAGGCAGGTCTCCAGTTGCTGCTGGAGGGGGAGTTTGGAGAGGCATGTTTAGCTGTCTCCAAGTGACGCTGGTAAGATCTGTGTGCGGTGGTTCGACAGAGAAGCTCAATGCACAAATGTGCTAATGGCCCTATGGTATCTGATGATAACAGCAGGGATTGGCTTCCTCCTTTTATGGATGGGGAAATTGACTTTGGGGTCTGTTGGGGAAAATCACTTGCTCCAGTGAATAAGTTACATGCACCCCCTTTGAGCAGCTCTTAGAAAAAGTAAGTAATTTCCCACCATAAAATTGCCTGAGCACAGAACCTGAGAACCAGCTGGTCACGACCTCATACTTTGCTGCTGTTTCCAAATGGGGCAAGGGGAGGAACGGGGAAGAATTAGGATCCATTGGTTTCCGGGAATGAAGTGTTTCACTAATTCATCTCACCTGTGTTATTTGCTTGCTGTTCTTTGGTTACTGGACTTTGGGGGTCTCAGTCCAATCTATACCAAGTGATATGTTATTCTTATTCTTGCCTCAGCCCATTGCTTGTACCTCTCATTAGCCAGGATTACAACTTGCTGCACAGTGTAGAAACCCACGTGGGTCTGTCTCCTTCACCAACCTTGGCAAAAGGAGCAGGCAGGTTCCCATCCCAGTGTCCAGGCTGAAGAAGGTGTTAATAAGCATAAGGTTAATTGAATTAAACAAAGATTATTAACAGGAATTATATAAGTCTTGACAGAACCCCAAATCCTAAGTCTTGATATTATTTGCTGTAATTCTGTTGACAAATGTGCTGAGAAACCAGAGCAATTAGCTCTTCATTGACCTGAAGGTACTGAATTCACTGTCATCTTTTCATTCTGATTCTTTAGCTCAAAATAAATATTAATGTCTTGGGGTTCTTGGCTGCTGCCATAGCAATAAGGTCCAATGACCTTTGGTGCAGGACTGTCATTGCTTGTCCTGGTGTCTGTGTTTAACTAACAGCTGTGTATTCTTAAAATAAAGAACAAAACAAGCCTAATGTTTTTATGGAGCCTTTGTCCGAGGAGAGTTTAAATGTCACCAAACTCATTTTTTTTTTAAATGCCTACATGGGAAAGCCAATATTACCCTCCTCCAAATTGTAGAAGGGTAATGACTTTTTGGTGTGACTTGTCTGTGTCTAACCTCCTTTCTCCCGCCCTTTGGCCACTATTGGTCAAATTATCCCAATTAGTAGCTTATCTCTGAGAGGGAACATATGGGAAGGGAGAGGAAGTGAATTCAGAATGGGATAACTGGATTATTGGCTGCCATCCAGCAAAGAAATTTGGGGATATGACGATGGGTGGAAGAGAATTGGAAAGAACAGTTGAAATACACATTAAATCAGTTCATATTTAATATCTGAAAGCCATCATGCTACTCCTGTTACCCACCACCAGACAAAAACATGAGTATTACTTGATTGTTACTATATAGCCATTGGGAAGAAAAACATTCATATGATTGTCCCCCAGAGCTTAGGGGGAAAGTTCTGCCTGTTTTGGTCATCGGCAACACAGCCAGTGCTGGCTTGCCCTTTGGTCCTAAGTGATGCTTGTTTGAGGCTGACAGAGAAACATGTCTTGCTGTTGCCACCTGCCCACAGGTTACCGATTCCAGGGTAGAAATCATCTGAAACCAGGTGGTGTCAACGCCTCACAGAGTAGTTGGCACACAGTACATACCTAGTTATTTGCCTTTTGAAATACATTGAATTCGGACTTCTTGTCCACTGTTCCAAGGACTGAATCTCACAGCTCCTCAGAAGAATCAGAACAATTCGTTTTCTTTGGAAGAAACCAAAGCCCTGTTTCAAGTTAGGTTTCGAATGAGATGGATATAATTTTCTGGAAATTATTAACAACGCACAGAGTTAAATACTTCCCTAGAAGGGATGTTCTGCAACGATTTAGCAAACATGAACAGAAGCTTCAACAGACACTAAGGGTAAGAGCAGAGAGTTGAGACAAGGGAAGTACCCCGGTTGGTGGAGTCCAGGTGAGTCGGCTACCACGCCAGCCCCCGCTGCCCGGTCAGTTGTGCTTTTTTTCCTTCAGGTAGCTGAAAAGCATCTCCAGGCCGCCCTCCACCAGCTCCGGCAGAGGCTTGGACAAAGGGTTGTGGGAAATATGGAGCCCTTTGTCCATGGGATTCCAGGCAATCCTTGCCAGTCTGCCTAGCAGGTAGAGCTCATCTGGGAGGGTCTGGATGTCATTGTTGTTCAAGTTCAGCAGCTCCAGGCTTGGGATGAGGCAGAGCGACCTCGGGAAGGAGTGGATGTTGTTGCTCTCTGCGATGAAGATCTGTAGGCCAGCCAGGCACTGGATGCTCTCGGCGATGTTTTCCAGGCGATTCGAGCCCACATGCAGGAAATGCAGCTCCTTCAGGGAGAACACGCAGATGGGGATGTGAACAAAATAGTTGTCGCTGAGGTTCAGTTTCTGCAACCTGGAGAGGTCGGTGAAGCTGGCGGGAAGCTGGGACAGACAGTTGTGCGACAGGCTCAGGACCTCCAGGTTTCTGCACAAGCTCAGCTCGGCTGGCACCTCGGTCAGGCAGTTCATGTTGACGAACAGGACCTTCAGGCTCTGGAGGATGCTCAGCTCTCTGGGCAGGCTCTTTAGCCGGTTCCCGCACAAGTTCAGCACCACGATCCGCGTCAGTTTCCCCACCTCGGGAGGCAGAACCCGGAGCTGGTTGTGAGACAGATTGAGCTTCTGGACCTCGGACAAGCCCCACAAAAAGTCGGGAATGTCTGTCATTCCTTTGGTGACCAGGCTGAAGCTGATGTGACGCATGCCCCGCTTTAGCAGAGAGCGCGGATCCTTTCCCGAGAGCAGGGTGTCGTCCCACGAAGAAAACTTCTGTCTCCTCCCCAGCAGCAGCATCCTCTTGGGGCCCCTGTCCTTGGAGCTGGCTCGGGACTGCCTGGTTCCCATCGTCCCTTCCTTTCCACTCTCTCCTCTGCCACCTCCGAGGCTGGGAGCTTGTCCTACTCAGCTGCTAAAAGCCAGGCTGATGAAGGCAGGGAGCAAGTGAGAACCAGTTGTGACCAGGAGGTCCCAGAGTGGAGAAAGCTGCCGGGAGCGTTTCGATCAGGCCTTGCAGGTGTCCAAGACGGGTCCCTGGGTGGCTGCAGGAGCTGGGTTTGTCCCCGAGGGTGGGTGTAGGTGGTTTCTCCCTGAGCAGCTGGGCTGTAATGATATACTTGTCCCTGGGCTGCTGAGCAGAACTGCTCGATTCCCTCTGAATGCCACAAGGCAGCTGTCACTGTCATTCTGCCTGGGTTTTATTGACCTGATATGTGCAAACAGGTCAGAGGGAGGCTGCATATAACTTTACCCTCTCAGCTTTTCTTGAATATCACGGTCGAGCAGGGTGATTAACAAGCCCATCTCGCAAAAGACGTAAAGTGGAAAAATAAAGCGGGCCACACCAGCACCAGTCCGTCTGTAGTACTGTGGGAACTTGTCTGGGCAGCTTGAGAGTGAAACCGACTGGATGCTAGCGACAGATCTATGTTTCCAACGCCAAGGATCATCAGGTGATATCATGAGAGCCCAATCCAAACCCTGATGGACTGGACATTTGTGAAAAGGTAACAAAAGTCACCCGGACACCTGGAAGCTTCCAGGTCGAAGGCTTTTAGACTAGGCTTGTCAGAGGTGATATAGTGAGGAGGGAGTTGGGGGGAATCTCAACTCCCCACTTCCATTTCAACCAGAGAGGCTCTGAGCTCGTCTGTTTCACAGTAGCCTTCTGTGTTTGGTAGTGTGCACTTTGAATGTGTGAATAGCCACTTGAGTGGCTACCTTGGTAAGGTAAGCAGGGAGCACCCACTGGAAATATATTGATACCTCTCTGGCTACACATTATTCCACTCTTGCTCTCTCTTCCCCAACCCTCCACCACTTTTGAGTGTGTGTGTGTGTGTGTGTGTTTGGAGTCTCACTCCATCGCCCAGGCTGGAGTGCAGTGACACGCTCACAGCCGCCCCAGCATCAACCTGCTGGGCTTTGGCGATCCTTCCACCTCAGCCTTCTAAGCAGCTGGAAGTACAGGTGTGCCCTACCATGCTCAGCTAATTTTGTTTTATTTATTGTAGAAATAAGGTCTCACCAGTTGCCCAGGCTATTCTTGAACCCGGGGGCTCAGACTATCCCCTCATCTCGGCCTCCCAAAGTCCTGGGATTACAGACTTGAGCCACCGCACCTGGTCCACCTTTTTTTTTTAACTAAAAAAAGTAACTGGCCAGGCATGGTAGCTCAGGCCTGTGATCCCAGCATTTCGGCTGGAGGATCACTTGAGCCCAGGAGTTCAAGACCAACCTGGACAACCTAGTGAGACCCTGTTATTACAAAGAAAAAAAAAATTAGCTGGTTATGGTGGCATATGCTTGTAGTCCCAGCTACTTAAGGGGCTGAAGCAGAAGGATCCCTTGAGCCCAGAAGTGGAGGCTGCAGTGAGCCATAATCACACTGCTGCACTCCAGCATGGACAACAGAGCAAGACCTTGTCTAAAACAAGAAATAAATAAACTGAAAAGACATAAATAAATTAGTTAGCCAGGTGTGGTGGCTCATGCCTATAATCCCTGCACTTTGGGAGATGGAGGTGAGAGGATTGTCTGAGCCTAGGGGTTTGAGGACAGCCTGGGCAAATTGGAGAGACCTCATCTCTACAATAAATCCAAAAATAAGCTGAGCGTAATGGCATGCGCCTGTAGTTCCAGCTACTTGGAAGGCTGAAGCAGAAGGATCACCTGAGTCCTGCAGGTCAAGGCTGCGGTGGCCATGAATATGCCACTGCACTCCAGCATGGGCGACAGAGTAAGACTCTCACTCAAAAAAAGATAAAAATAAAATAAAATAATAATAATAATACATTAGTTAACTTGTATCTTAAGTATGTGTAGTTAATTGGTGTTACAGGCTGAACTGTGGCCCTCTCCCAAATTTCAAATGTTGAAATATCAACCCCCAGGACCTCAGAATGTGCCTGTGTTTGGAAGTAGGGCCAGGTGAAGATATAGTGAGAAGGTGATCATCTGTAAGCCGAGGAGAGAGGCCTTGGAAGAAACCATCACCATGATCTCAGACTTCTAGCCTCCAGAACACTGAGAAAAATAAATGTTATGTGGCTTAAGCACCCCTCCCAGTCCCCCCAGTTTCTTAGGGCAGGCCTGGCAAACATACAGTTGGGGAAGAGGCAGACACATTTGCATACATGAAAACTCTGAAAATAGGCAGTGATTAAGGGCAGAAGGGATGTCAAGGTGCTGACCTGGGTTCTGAGATAGAGGCTTGCATAGCGAGGGCTGGTTTGACCTGGAAGTCTTGCTGGCAGTGGCCCTGGTGGGACACAGTCCTGGGCACAACAGCTGTGTGTCTTGGAGAACCTGGCTTGCTCCTGGGACCCTGACCTCACAAGGCTGTCATCACCAGCCCAGGAGTTCCAGCTGGGGCCTGACTGGGCACTGTCTGGGGAGTCTACATGAATCTGTCTCTGGACAGGAGGAGCAGCAGAAAGAACAAAGGGAAGCCACTTCATCACACGGCATCTTGAAAAGCTCTGACCCTGGCTGGGTACAGTGGCTCACGCCTATAATCCCAGCATTCTGGGAGGCCAAGATGAGAGGAATGCCTGAGCCCATGGGTTCCAGAACAGCCTGGGCAACTTGGTGAAACTTCAGCTCTACAATAAATCCAAAAATTAGCCGGACGTGGTGGCACGTGCCTGTAGTTCCAGCTACTTGGAAGGCTGAGGCAGAAGGATCGCCTGAGCCCAGCAGGTTGAAGCTGAAATGGCCCTGAGCATGCCACTGCACTTCAACCTGGGCAACAAGAGTGAGACTCCAACTCAAAAAAAATGATCTCTGTTTTACAAATGAGGGAATGAAGACAGAGAAAGGTCAAATACTGCTTAATCCTCACTCACCTGAGGTCAAGTAACCAGTAATCTGGCAGAACCTAGATTCAATCACAGTTATTTTGGCTCCACAGCTCAGGCTGGGAACTACAAGAAGATTTTGGGCTTAGGCCCATAGACACAAAAACCATGGCTAAGATGTGGCCCCTTGTTTTCAAGGGCTGGGAGTAGGGCTGGAGGGAACACAGGTCAATGCATGCATAGATATAACTACATAATTAGGCATTCACCCTCTTGCTCGGCCCCAATACAACTAGGAAAAGCAAAAGTCAAAAAAAGAATTCTAGAAAACTTTGGAGTGATGGATGTAATCCTTCCAAAAATAGTTCAGGTCTTCTCTGGCTAGGTTCTCATATATCAAATGGATGACCTGTGTCGCCAGCTGACCTGGTTTCGTCCAATTTTTGAAATGTAAATCCCTCCCACTTAGTGCATCATAGTGATCTAGCCCACAGGTGGTTCACTGAGACTACCGTTGCTGTATCTGAGCCTCAGTTTCCTCAGCTACGAAATGGGCTGTCTGGAGGGATGGGAGCCCAAAGCCCCTTCCCACTCTTCCTGTCTGTTTCTCACCACAAATGAGGCCACTTGTGAGGAAAGGAAAGGTACATTTATCCTCTTTTCTGGGGAAAGCATGCAAAATTCAAGACAGTTTTTGTTTTTGTTTTGGGAACTTCAATATAGATTTCCTGAGAAGTAAATAGTAACAGGAAATGCTGTCGGCTTTAGGATTTGCTACACTGTATATATCACACATTTGATTTTTGCCAAAAGAGACTTTTCAGGTTTCAGCTTGAAATAAGTATCAGGACATTTTCGGACAAGTTTCTGAAATTTCAGGGCATTGTAAATAATGATTGTCCTTAAAACCTAGGGAGCCCATGGAATGATTGAAATGTATTTAATAGCACTAAATATGCCTAACATGTTTACTGCATTTCTCTATATTCTAATTGATGTTCCAGTATATGAAAATCAACAATGATTGTTTCTTCAATCCTAAGTAGCATAAAACTGAAATAACGAGAGTATAAAATAGTAGATTATAAAAATATCTGAAGCTACTCCTGACTTCACACTAATAGAATGTCTATGGGGGCTCAACCCATAATCCCATGTTTGAGAGGCCGAGGTGAGTGAACTGCGTGAGCCCGCGGGTTTGAGACCCACCTGGGCAACTTGGCGAGACCTCATCTCTATAATAAATCAAAAAATTAGCTGGGCATGGTAGCACGTGCCTGTAGTTCCAGCTACTTGGAAGGCTGAGGCGGAAGGATCGCCAGAGCCCAGCAGGTTGAGGCTGCAGTGGCCGGGAGTGGCCACTGCACTCCAGTCTGGGCGACAGAGTGAGACTCCAACTCAAAATTATTTTTATTCTCACTATGTCTTTTCAGCTTATGTCTATACACATGTCTGTTAATTTTAGAAGGAAGAAATGTGTAAATAACTGATTGAAATAGACAATTTACTGATGAAAGTTTTTAAAAATGGAAAATACAGAAATGTCTGAATAGAGGCAGCCCAGTTAGCATTTGGCATATATAAAGTTATATCTTTTTCCTAAGCACATCCACTTCAGTCTGTTTAGAAGAAGAAGGAGGAGGAGGAGGAGGAGGAGGAGGAGGAGGAGGAGAAAGGGCGAGCTTGAGGCAAAAGCTTATGGGGCTCATGTTTCCCTGGGGAGCACAACCCCAGGTGAGTGAGAACGAGGGAGACACCGGAAGCTGCACCAGGAGAAAGAGGAAGTACCAGCGATGCGTTCTGAGCTGCTAGACCTTGGCCTCCAACCCAGCCTGTTGCTAAGTTTTGTAGACATCTGGAGAGAGGACAAATTAAACTGCCATGACTCAGAATAGTCTGCAGTTAAGCATCTATAAAATGCATGCAATGGGCCGGGCTCAGTAACTCAAAGCCTGTAATCTCAGCACTTTGGGAGGCCCAGACGAGTGGATTACCTAAGTCCGCAGGTTCGAGACCCGCCCGGGCAACTTGGCAAGACCTCATCTCTACAATAAATCAAAAATTAGCCAGGTGTGG